CTGCTGAGAGAAAAATCAGGATTACACCACTGGAGAGAAGATACAGATAAAGTGAGTCTTTCTGCTCTTCAGCATAGTTCACCTTCCAGAACAGGCTTGTCTATAAAATGAGAACAACTAACTTACTGGGCTAGGAATGGAGTCCGGATCCAGACGCTTTGGTGGGGGTGGTGCTCCCGGCTGGCTCCCATAACCTGTCGGCCCAGAGTAAGCGGCGTTGTAGTTGGGCTGGGTGCCTCTGTTCTGCCCAAAGGACCCTGGGAAACCCACAAACACTAAAAATCAATACATCTTCAAGAAGCACATTTTAGAAGCAATGGATACGATTTTCCAACGGCATTTACGAATCAGGACTCAAACAAAACAAACCGTTTCCGTTTGAACTGAAGGTTTTTAAATAGTCAAGGAACCTGTTGGGGGCTCAGCTCAGAAAATGTTGCGTTTGTCCTGTCTGAGGACAAAGAGATGCTCTGACAACTATTCTGATGTAGTGAGGGGCCGTGCCTCAGTGACAGGGCAGCTCCAGGCTTCCTCGGGTGGAACCTCGGCCTTGGATCCCTTCCAACCCGAGTTCCGCCCTGGCCATGGGATGGAGACGGTTCTGGTCGCCCTCACAGATTATCTCCACAGGCAGTTGGATTGAGTGGGTCTGTGCCGCTGATATTGCTGGACTTGTCGGCAGTGTTCGACCTGTTCGACTACGATCTTCTGGCCCATCACCTTGCCGACGTGGAGATCCAGGGGACAGCCTTACAGAGATCCACCTCCTTTCTCCAAGGTCAGGGACAGAGGGTGGTGCTAGGGGAGGGGGTGTCTCCGTGTTACCCATTGGTATGTGGAGTCCCCCAAGGGGTTATCCTCTCCCTGATGCTATTTAGCATCTTTATCCGCCCCCTTTGCCCAGCTGGCGTGGGATCCTGGGCTGGGGTGTCACCAGTACACTGATGACACCCAGCTCTATCTGCTGATGAGTGGCTGGCCGGAGGCCGCCCCAGACCATCTGGCCAGGGGTTTGGAGGCCGTGGTTGAAACTAAATCCATCAAAGATGGATTTCCATCAATCTCTCCTGTGGCTGAGACTGGATTTCCACATCTCCTGTGGCTGAGACCGGGGGGGGGGCGTCGGGGGCACTGGGACAGGTTGCCAACTTTCCTCCTTTGACGGGGTGCCATTGACAGCTGGGCAGTCCATCAAGAATTTGGGAGTGATCTGGGATGCTTCCCTTTGGATGGAGGCCCAGGTTCCAAAGGTGGTTAAAGCTGGCGTTTTACCATCTCCACTAGGCCCCGTGCCTGTTGCCCTCTGACCTGGCCATGGTGATCCATGCAACTGTCACCTCCAGATTGGATGACTGTAACTTGCTCTACGTAGGGCTACCCTTGAGGTGGATCCGGAAAATGCAACTGGTTCAAAATGCAGCTGCAAGGGTCTCGACAGGGACACTCGTTAAGAGGGCACATCCAACTGGTGCTCTATCAGCTGCATTGGCGCCAGATTGCAGACTGGTCCTGGTGCTGACCTTTAAAGCCTTCGGGACTGCCTGTCCTGGTTTGTCCCCCATAGAGCGTTACGCTCGAGTGATCCAAATCTGCTGGTGGTTGCCAGCCCAAAGAGCATCTCTCTGTCCTTGATCGGGGCGGGCTTTTTCGGCCCTGGCTCCGGCCTGGTGGAACACTCTTCTTTCAGGAGAGATCAGGGCACTGCAAGATTTAGTACAGTTCTGCAGGGTATGCAACAACAGAGTTGTTCTGCTGGGCCTATGGTTGAGGGCAGTATGGGGGCCCTAGCTGGTAACAAGTTTTTCGCCTCCCCCTCTTCTTCCATTTTCCTTCCCCTTGTGTTCCCCTTCGAAGCTGTCTGAACATTACTCCTCCATATGCCATCTGGAATTTTGCAGAATTGTTGTATTTACATTGTCTTTTACTGCATTTACTATATTTATTGTAATTGTATGCTGTTTTAGAGGTTTTCAAATGGTATTTTATGGTTTGATGTTACCTACTCTGAGCTGGCTTCGGGAAGAGTGGGCTATAAATTGAATAAAACAAATAAACAAATAAACATTTGGCATGCAGGAAGTCCCACGTTCAATCCCCAGCATCTCCAGTTAAAAGGACCCAGGCCGTAGGTGATGGGAAAGACCTCTGCCTGAGACCCTGGAGAGTTGCTGCCAGTCTGTGTAGACAAGACTGAAACCTGACGGACCCCGGATCTGACTCAGCGTAAGGCAGCTTCACATCTACCAACATAAAATGCTTGCAAATTTACAGTGTTACATGGGGAAGGAAGATCATCTTATTTATTTATTTATTTATTTACAAAATTTACATCTTGCCTTTCTGCCTTTACATGGGCCATCGAGGCAGGGGAGTTGATTTTAATGGTTTTAAAATGGGATTTTATCATGTATGTTTCCCATTTTAAAACCATTAAAATCAACTCCCCGTCCTTCAAGCTTGCAAGTGATGGTTATTTGTTACATATTTGCAGCGGCAGGCCCTCTTGCACTGGGGGTGTGGATCCAGTGCAAAACTTCCACTTGTGCCAGAATTTCTAGAGCAGTGGTGTGGGGCTCAGGAGGGCCGGACCTGACATAAATGTCACTTTGTCGGGCTGGGCCATGTGTGCCATAAAAGGTAATTCTTGGTAAAGGTAAAGGTTCCCTTGCTCGAAAGCCAGTCGAATCCGACTCCCTTACACTAGTTGCTCACGGGCCACATAAGAACCCTGGACGGGCCGGTTCTGGCCCCCGGGCTTCATGTTTGACACCCCTTCGCTAGAGCAAGAAGAAATGCAAAAGAATGCACCGGTAGTTGCTTGCGCGAAGTCAAAATTATTGCATCCGTACTTGCATTTCCGATTTGAAAAGGTTTTGTGCAAACAATTTCTGGTGCTATAACATTTAGAGAGGGGGAAGTGACGGTGTTGTACAGGACCTTGGGCAAGTGGAACGGTACGAAATCCATTTATGTTTCTGCTTGTGCAACGCTGGATCGAACCACTCCGCTTGCCCTGAAGATTCACGTTGTTTCACCCGAATGTCTTCTGACGATCTCTACAATGAAGCAACGCGATCTGCAACCAGATTTACCTAATCATGTATTCTGTATTGTGGCTGGCAGGTGCCCAGTGAGTAGCAGTAGCCACCATATTTGAACAACATAGCTCTGAACACTAGGAAATCATTTTATATCATGATTCCCATAAAAAAAAAGAACCTTCCAAGAAAGGAACAAATAGTGGTTACTAAAGCTACACACACCACTCCGATTCATTTCCTTGACTGGGATAAGCAGGAAAGCAAGTTCAGCTCTGAAAGTAAGTATTGGCTGAACACAGGGGAAAGCAGTTTTATTTATTTATTTATTCATTCATTTATAAATTCAATTTATAGCCAGCCCTCCCTGCAGCGCGGGCTCAGGGCGGCTCACAATCAGGCACAATCAGGCATCAGTTGGTGATTAACAAGCCAAACCACATCTTTACATTTAGAATCTCAAGTCTACATGGAGGAACTTTTAAAAGCTGATGGAACCAAGATTTAAATCCTAGGTAAGCACTTCATAGTATGATGTGATGGAGGAAAAATCCTAAATATAAATACACGTTGATGGGGTCTGAACTGGCAGAGACTGACCAAGAGAGAGATCTTGGAGTCGTAGTAGATAACTCAATGAAAATGTCGAGACAGTGCGCGACTGCAATAAAAAAGGCCAACACTATGCTCGGGGTTATTAGGAAGGGAATTGAAAACAGATCAGCCAGTATCATAATGACCCTGTATAAATCGATGGTGCAACCTCATTTGGAGTACTGTGTACAGTTCTGGTTGCCACACTTCAAAAAGGATATTATAGCATTGGAAAAAGTGCAGAAAAGGACAACTAGAATGATAAAAGGGTTGGAACACTTTCCCTATGAAGAAAAGTTAAAATGCTTGGGGCTCTTTAGCTTAGAGAAACGACGGCTGATCGAGGTTTACAAGATTATGCATGGGATAGAGCAGGTAGAGAAAGTACTCTTCTCCCTTTCTCACAATACAAGAACTCTTGGAAACTAAATGAAATTGCTGAGCAGTTGGGCTAGAATGGATAAAAGGAAGTACTTCTTCACCCAAAGAGTGATTAACACGTAGAATTCACTGCCACAGGAGGTGGTGGCTACAAGCATGGAATTAGATAAACATATGGAGCAAAGGTCCATCAGTGGCCCCTATGAGCCACAAGGTACAGATAGGAACTCTCAGTCTGGGGCAAGTGATGCACTGTATTCTTGGTGCTTGGGGGGTGGGCAACAGTGGGAGGGCTTCTAGTGTCCTGGCCCCACTGGCGGACCTCCTGCTGGCACCTGGTATTTTTGGCCGCTGTGTGACAGTGTTGGACTGGATGGGCCACTGGCCTGATCCAACATTGGCTTCTCTTATGTTCTTAAAAATGAAGTCAGGTCTCTCTAAGTTACCCATTTCCATTGCTATTCAACATATTTCAGAGAAGAAGGCCCTGCAAAGGAGTATATCCCACCCCAAACAGTGGCCCTCTCGAAGAATCCTCCCAAACTTTCCCTCCCAGTACCTTAAACATACCATTCTGCTGCAGTGGGTATCCTGGCTGGGAAGGATGGTTAGGAGGTGGTGGTCCTTGCAAGCTGGTCATTGGTGGTCCAGGGGGTGGCCCTGCCACAGGTGGTGGTGGTGGTGAAGTCGCATGATTAGGCTGGGAAGTCAGCATCCCAGTAGTTGCCTGTCCAGGTAACGCACCCTGCATGGTTGGAGGCCTTGAAGCTCCAGCCGCAGGAGGGTAACTGGAAACTCCAGCCGCGGCAGAGACCAGTGGTGGGGCAAAGCCCGGCGCTGGAGAGGAAAGATGTAGGGCTGACGGGGGACCAGATGCGGCAGGCTGAGCCATGGGGAAACCCTGAGACAAGCTGGTAGGAGGCAATCCGTGGGGCAGGTTGAGGGGAAGGGGTCCTTGGCTTGCGTAAGATGCATATTGCCCAGATCCAGTTGCACTAAAACTTCCTGAGGAAGGCGGAACTGATGCCGGAGGACCTGAGAAGCAGAACGGAAATTACAGTCACACCTTGATCTCACATTGAACCACTAGCAAAAGTGCCCGTCCTCTCCCCATACATATTTATTATTTATTTATTTATTTTTGGATTTATATCCCGCCCTCCCCGAAGGCTCAGGGCGGCTAACAACGAGGCACAAGTGCCAGAACTAAAACAGATAAAACAGTCTAAAACCATAAAACAATACAGTACAACAACAAAGTGTCAGTGCAAGATGGGGTAGAACCTCCTCAAATGGTAATGGTCCCACAACTTGTCAGCACCCTCTCCTTCCAGGGTCACCTCGCACACAGATGGAACCACATATTAGTGGTAGTGGTGCGATGCTGCAAACATATCGGTGGTGGAATTGAAGTGGCGGCGGCTCCTACTCAAAAGCCTGGCGGAAGAGCTCCGTCTTACCAGCCCTGCGGAACTGAGAAAGGTCCCGCAGGGCCCGGATCGCCTCCGGGAGCTCCTTCCACCAGGTAGGAGCCGCCACCGAAAATGCCCTGGCTCTAGTAACAGCAAATTTAATATCCCTGGGCCTGGAATTTCCAGATGTTGATTCCCCGACCGTAGTGCCCTTGGGGATATCAACTCTAGCCCTCTACCAAAATGTCTACAGTAGTTTCTCAAGCCTCAGTTCTTCTTCTTCTTCTTCCTCTTAACTAGAGCAGGACAGAAGCACCGGCTTCTGGCGAGGGGCTTGGTCTTTTGACTTTCCCCAGGTTCAGCTCTGAAACATGGACACCACATCTCAAAGAAGAGAACCATAAGGAGCAGCCCCTGTAGCGACAAGTGAGGCCAGAAAGTGTTCCAAACTGTGTAAAGTGTGTCTTACATCTGTGTCAAGCTAAGTTTCGTTTCTTTATATTTCACTTCACTGCTTGCCATGATACAGGGGGGAGGGAATTCCTGAGGGGAGTGTATGGGGTGTTGAGTGCTTGCAGAAGCCATAACCAGTACTTTAAGCTGTACCCCAATGCCAGTTCCCATGACAGCTGACCTTGGAGACTCTTCTGCCATGCTAGGCTAGATAAGGCACTGTATATCTGTCAGGGTTGCCACAGTGACCTAGGGATGTGCATGGGATGTGGGGTGTTAGTTGCTTTATCTATAACTCAGGATCTTTGGCGCTTTTTCTCAGTTCTGACAAAGAGCATGTCTCCCAAAGTAAGCCTATCTGCTTAACAATGTTCCCTCTAAGTTGTGGAGTCCTGTGAGGAAAAATTCTACTTTGTGAGCTACTGGCATGAAAGTTGTGAGCCAGCAATTTGGCTACTGCGTAAACTAGTTTGCTCTGGAGCCATCCCTTCCTGAGCTAATACAAAAATGTGTGAGCCGGAGGCTAAAAAACTGTGAGCTGGCTCACACGAACTCAGCTTAGAGGGAACACTGCGTGCTTAAGTGTGTTGTGGAGAGTGCCTGAACTGGGAGACCTGACCATTTGATGTGCAAATATGTTCACCACAACATGGCTCCAGTGCTTCTTGTACCAACCAGGGCTTTGTTCCAGGTTTTGGGGGACCCTGGGTAGACTGTGCCTGGGGGGCCCTCGCCCTACGGCCACCACAGCACCCCGCCACTCGTGCTCCCTTCCGCCCACACACTTCCGCTCTACTGCTACCACCCACACAGCCTTCCCCTCCTCACAACCCCTCCCGCGAAAATGACTGCAAAAGCAATGACTGAAAGATTGCTAATTTCTTGCAGTTCTTCGAAACGAAGAATCGGTGAGGTAGCGTGCAAGGTTTCCAAGACCGAGGCTTCCAGGTTTCCACAGTGATTCAACAACCTGTCCACTGCAGCCTAGATCCCTTCTCAAAGAAACTGACAACTAATTCAGTCTGTTGTGAACAACATCCAGATGTTCCAATAACTCACCATAGCCCAGGCCAGCTGGGGGAGGAGCAGAACTTGAAGCACCGCCTATCTGCATTCCTGCCATGTGATTGGCCAGTTGCTGTGTGCTCGCTGGAGGTGATGCATACTGGAAAGTAGCAGCTGGCTGGGAAACGGGGGTGGGCGCTGTGCCAAGCATGTATTGCTGGGAGGCAGAAGGTCTGAGGGGGAAACAAAAAGAGGGCTTGAAGACCACCCTTAGCGACGCGAATCACTTCTGTCACTGGAACTTTCTTTACTGCCACACACGGTTGTGCCTGGGCTCGAACACGGGCAAGGAAGCACTTCAGTTCAATCACAGTTTTCAGAATGGAAGCCGCTCAAAGCACCTTTTGCACCACAATCACACAAGCACCAATTCTCCTACTCCACCTCATTTTTCCGACGCAACACTTGAGATATGTTACTTAGGGACGATGAAGGGCAATGGGTCCAACACAGTAAAAAAGGTAAAGGTTCCCTTGCTTGAAAGCCAGTCGAATCTGACTCTAGGGCTGCGGTGCTCATCTCCGTTTCAAAGCCGAAGAGCCAGCGCTGTCCGAAGACGTTTCCGTGGTCATGTGGCCGGCATGACTAAACACCAAGGCACACGGAACGCTGTTCCCTTCCCACCAAAGTGGTACCTATTTATCTGCTTGCAATTTCTTGCTTTCGAACGGCTAGGTTGGCAGGAGCTGGAACCAGAGACGAGAGCTTACTCCGTCATGCGGCACACTCGGGTCTCGAACTGCTGAACTACCAACCTTCCACAGCCTGCAGTTCAGCGTCTTAACCACTTGAGCCACCGCAGCTCCGTCCAACACAGAGGACCAGAAAAACAAGATTTCCCTGAATTACACTGGATAAGCAGAACAGCTCAGCTCTAAGGTCTTGCAAGCAGCCTTGGCCACAAAACATTATTCAGACTATTTCAGCTCAGACTAACAACAGAAGAAGAATTAAAGTATGTTGATGGGGACCGTAATAGCCAGAAACCAAAAAAGGCTTTGCCACCCCGCCTAACTGGAGTGTGTCTTGATCCAAATTTTCAAAGTGTTCTACATTGTTCAAAAGAAACCATTGCTCCCTATTTCCTCAAAACCAGCCTTCATATATCTGAAACTCATCTAAACGGCTCTTCCACAAGTTAAATAAAGCCAATGTCTTCAGACTCCCTTATTCTAATAGTCAAGAGTGGGCCCGAACACAGACACTTAAATCCATGGATCAGGGCCACACTGACAGAAACCTGATAGTTCTGAAAACTTGAGGTTACTCCCCCTCCCCCCCATTTGCAGACAAACTAAGACACTAAAAACTACTTGGGGGGGGGGTGAAATCCCCCACACAAAAATGTTGTCTGCACTTGTGCAGGCAACACACCTACCTTTTGTTGGCAGTGGAGGCCGGGAGCCACTCTGGGCCCAGCCTCCTCCACTAGTCCTTGGCTCAGCAGGCAAGTGGAATTCACTGCCACAGGAAGTGGTGGCAGCTACAAGCATGGACGGTTTCAAAAGGGAATTAGATAAGCATATGGAGCAGAGGTCCATCAGTGGCTATTAGCCACAAGGTATAGATAGGGGCTCTGGGGCAAGTGATGCTCTGTTATCTTGGTACTTGGGGGTGGGGGGTGGGGGTCAACAGTGGGAGGGCTTCTAATGTCCTGGCCCCACTGGTGGACCTCCTGATGGCACTGGTATTTCTGGCCACTGTGTGATACAGAGTGTTGGACTGGATGGGCCTTTGGCCTGATCCACCATTGGCATCTCTTATGTTATGTCCCTTTGCCAAAGGTTCCAGTGTCTCCAGGTACACAGCCTGCCCGTTAAAAGTCGCATAGCTGCAATTACAGTGAAAAGTGTAAAACCGAGAATATATTACCTTGCTGTGTAAGGAGCAAAAAACAGGTTTGCCACCAAAAAGCTGATCACCGTAGACCGTTTCTGGATTACTTTCCCATAATTACCTTTGCATGGAGACCGCAGGAGCAGGAATCCCATTGCGCACGTCTCCTTGCCCAAACTGACTGCAGGCAGGCTGTCCAGGAGGTGCACCAGACGCAGCAGGAGCTCTTAGAGGACCTAGACACAGTTAATGGAAGGTCAATCGTATACCAGTTACCCAGGGAACCAGTCACTGCACGTGCAGTTACCTTCTGAAAATATGCTGGATGTGGCCTTTCAGGACACATGACTAAGGATGGAAACGGGAGAAACTGCATTTGCCCACTTGCAGAAGCAGGACATTTATGGTTTGGATCCAATGCACCATCAGCAGAAAGGGCTGGACGCAGCCCTTTCTTTCTTTCCTGCCTTTCTCAGCAGCTCACGGGAACTCAGACCAGCCGAGGGTGTGAGTTGGGGGGACCCAATGCCAGAAAGGTGGACCCTGTGAGGACAAGGAAGTGGGCAAAACGGCTCCCTCTGCCTCTTACGCCAGCTGCGCTTCTCTGCTAGCCGTGTGCTAGTGATGTGCCTGGTTTAATTTCTTTACATACGATAATCCTTGTACATCCCACGTGAAGTGATGAGGGGACAATCCCTTTTCTTCCTCGCCAGGCTATTCAGACCACCACATCCCAGTTTCTTCCTGGCAAATCTTGTGCGGTCACTATTTGCCTGGAAGGTTCACTAACAATTCATATTGGAAATACTTAGTACCAGCCAGGGCTCTTTTTGTAGAAAAAGCCCAGCAGGAACTCATTAGCATAATAGGCCACACCCAATAGCAGAAACTCATTAGCCTATTAGGCCACACCCCTGACAGCAGAGCTCATTAGCATATTAGGCTGCACCCCCATGTTACCAGAAGTGTGGTCATCCAGCCACACCCACCTTTTGCTTCTTATTCTGTTTACCTTGTTTGTAGTCAAAACCCAGAGCTTCTCTTGTAGAAGGAACTCCTTTGCATTGTTAGGCCACACACGCCTACTGTAGCCAATCCTAATGAGTTTCTGCTGTTGCGTGTGGCCTATTATGCTAATGAGTTCCTGCTGGGCGTGGCCAACTCGGGAGCCAGCCGGAAATCCGTTCCTGTGCGTTCCTGCCCAAAAATAGCTGCTGTAAGGCAGGGTAAAAACAGCAGCGCTGACCCACCTCCGTCCAGGTATCTACAGAGATAGTCTGTGAGCACAACCAAAACCATCCCTGTCCTATAGCCAGGGTGGAAGCCAGAGTGGAAGGGATCAAGGACTGAGGTGTCATCCAGGCAGGGCTATTTTTGAGCAGGAACGCACAGGAATGGAGTTCCGGCTGGCTTCCGAGTTGGCCACGCCCAGCAGGAGCTCATTAGCATAACAGGCCACACCCAGCAGCAGAAACTCATTAGGAATGGCTACATTGGGGTGTGTGGCCTAACATGCAAAGGAGTTCCTGCTACAAAAAAAGGCCCTGGGTTTTGACAACAGACAAGGTAAACAGAATAAGAAGCAAAAGGTGGGTGTGGCTGGATGACCACACTTCTGGTAACATGGGGGTGTGGCCTAATATGCTAATGAGCTGTTGTGTCAGGGGTGTGGCCTAACATGCTAATACGTTTCTGCTGTTGGGTGTGGCCTGTTATGCTAATGAGTTCCTAAACAATTGTGATTCTGTTGTTTTATATTCTATGGGGAAAAGTATTACTTTTTCCACTTTCTATATTAACTTTTGTAATTTGCTCAGTTTGGTTTATTTTTCTTAACCTTTTGGTCACCTGACTTATCAAGGACCAGACTCTGTGTAAGAAACACAGACCCATTTAAAGGGCCCTGTCCCGACCTAGGCATTTCCTGCAATGAAACGTTAGAGACTTCATGGTCTACCACTTGTCTTTAACAAATGAAATGCTGCATGAGACAGATCAGAAATGGTCTTTTCTTATCAGTGGCACTGCACAGAAAGGAAACCATTTACCTATGAAATCAGGTGCGAAAGAAGTGTCAGAATCAAAAGAAACAGGAGAGCCCTTAGAAGGAAACCCCAGAGAAGGAAAGTAACCTAGAAAGACAACATAGATCAATAAGAAAAGTTGGAAAGAAGGGAAAGGATTACACAAGACTATAATACTGATGTTCTCGGATACCCTGCGGTCATGCTGCCCCCCAAAACATACGTTCTCTGTCACGGAAGCAGAGCCAGAACAGAATTCTAGTGTCTATGGGGCACGTAGGTATCCTGCGGCGTTTCCCTGTCGCCTTCAAAACATTCACACTCCAAACAACTATATTCAGGTGGGTGGTCTGAAGGAGCAGAGCAAGGTTTGAGTCCAGTGGGCACCTTGAAGACCAATTAAGTTTTATTCTGGGTACAAGCTTTCGTGTGCAAAACACACTTCTTCAGATATACAGGAACACGGAAACAAATACTCCAAACAGCGATGTCTACCAAAGTCCCTCCAGATGTTTCAGGGTGCCTCAATCGACACTCCACTAGCAGGACACAACCTCCGCGCTAGCAAACCTCAATGCCGCACCCACGGACACCACGGAACCTGGTAGTGGGCTCCCTAAAACCCATCTGCCTCTTCCCTGAAGCAAATAACCAAGTGCTGGCTTTCCTCACTGGAGCAGGAGATGCTTCAGAAGCACCTTTGAGTCTGCAGGGAAACAACCTGCCACCACTTTGGAACTGGTCCCAACCAATGTTCCCTCTAAGCTGTGAAGTCTTGTGAGCAAAAATTCTACTTTGTGAGCTACTGCCATTAAAGCTGTGAGTGAGCGATTTGGCTACTGCATAAATTAGTTTGCCCTGGAGCCCTCCTTCCTGAGCTAAAACAAAAATGTGTGAGCCACAGGCTCAAAAACTGTGAGCTAGCTCACACTAACTCAGCTTAGAGGGAACCACTGGTCCCAACACACCACGGCAGCCACTTTAGAGTGCCCCCCACTTCTCATTCTCGAAATTCCCAGAGTGTCCACAGGCCGAACAACACTGCAGCAGACCTTGTCTCAAGCTGCAAATGTAGGAAGTGGTGACAGAGAAGCACATGGACTGCACTGCTAGCAATTAGAATCATCGTGGCCACGAATCTAGATGAAAGCATTCTTAAGAAACTCAATGGTGAAAATGTTGATTTACTAACCAGTCTATGTATCTTGTTGCTAAAAGCAGCCTCCGTGCTGCAGGACTGCAAAGCAGCCAATGTCACACTGATTTTTGAAAAGGAATCTAAAGGGAATCCAGCCTGATATCTGTTTCAGATAAATCA